GTAGAACAAAAAATATTGACGACTTTATTTATTTTTATTTTTTTTACTTTATACATCGAAATTACTCCTTATGGCATTAGATTTTTTTTTTAATCTTTTGCCGCTTGACGAAAACTAAATAGATTTCACGGTGTATCAGAGGCCTTAGCACGAGTTTGATTTACGTTTAAAGTATTCGAAACGAGTACGCATTCGGCACTCTGATTGGCCGGCGCCAATGAACCAACCAATCACAGCGCCGAACGCGTACTCGTTACGATTACTTTAAACGTAAAACAAACTTTTGTACTAAGGCCTCTGTATAGGTATTCAAGTTTATTACTTAGGGTAAAAATACACGCAATTTTTCTTCATTTTACCAACCCAAGTAAGAAGTAATTTCTTGTCTACCGCCGTGTATTAAAGCCTTATGACGCATAAAACAAAGTCGTAAACTGCACAGCCGATGTAACTTATGTAGTATTTAAACATGGTTCATACTTTACAACAAGTTTAATTATGTAATCAGAAAGTTGTCAGCAATCAAATAACTATCACTGAAAAGCCAAATGTCAAATGTGTTTTATATAGGTACATTTACTTACTGATAATATTAATTACATTCGTTTACGTACACACCACAGTTGGTTATCAACTCTTTGAAATTATATCAGATTGGTTCAATAGTTTAAATAAATTGTAAACAAATGACTGCCTTGTTAGCCGAGTGGTCGCATCGAAGTGCGACAGCCGGGCAAAGTATTACTGGGTTTTTAAAAATCTCAGTAGTAGCACGGAGTCTGGAATTGTGCCCGGTATATGGCAATAGGCTCACTCCCTATTACATGGGGCTCATAACATAAATAGTGAAAAGTAAGTGTTACATTGTACAGTGACATTAAGTGTCGAAATGTGCACCTCTGCCTACCCCTTCGGGGATAAAAAGGCGTGATGTTGTTATTATGTTATGTAAACAAATATATAGGTAGAATTACTAAGTCAAGACTAAATGTATAATGTACATCTCCTAAGTTACGCTGAAATACTCAACTGCTACTCAATTTTTAATGCGCTTAAATATACATAGTTCTGTCACTACAAATTCTTTGTAAAATGACAAGGATGGCACGATATTTCAATACAACTTAAAATTGGATAACCTTTCAGTATTGGGCCGTTAGAGTAATAATAGGTAGGTACCTACTTGTTTACATTTTTTATTTTTGGTAGCCCAATGTGGCCCAATTCTCACAGATTATCATAATATCACGCGTCGACTCTCCCTCTTTTGTAAAAGTCGTTTAATTAATATACATACTTCCTACCTTCTGAAAATCCGAATCAAAATACTCCTTTTTTTTTCATTTTAATGTCGGTTACAATAGAAAAAGAACGCAATACTTTATTTCAAGTTCACCGTCATACTATTGCAATAATGTTCATTGTTCTTTGTCGTTAGACTAAACGAGCTCCAGCATAATATGATAAGATGCTTGTAAAGAGATTCTTTTGTACGTAATTTAGATTTGTATAGTAATATCTATTATTTTGTTACCTTGAATGTCTAGCCAAGGTTACGCTACAAATTATGCATGTTTAACACCATTGTAATTCATTGTACGGTATTTGTTTCTGCCAGTTTGTCTATTAATTATTCTATGGTCTTTAAATGGAGTCAGGATACCAAGTTGGCAAGTTTCTTAGTAAAGTAAAACTTGTGTGAAGAATTAAATCATATATCCTCTATGACTCTATTTGAGAGGTCGAATAGAGAGAAATAAGTAAACTATATACATACATAACATCACGCCTTTAAAGGGGTAGTCAGAGGTGCACATTTACAGCACTTAATGCCACTGTACCATGTAACACCCACTTTTCATTATTTATGTTATGAGTCCCATGTAATAGAGGGTGAGCCTATTGCCATATACCGGGCACAATTTCAGACCCAGTTGTACTTTACCTGACCCGGGAATCGAACCCGAGACCCCTTGCCCGCTTGCGACCACTTGACCAACGAGGCAGTCAGAAATAAGCTAACTATTCACTGTGATTTCAAGTTGAAATACTGTTGGCTCTGAGTAGAAAAAAACTTTTACAGTTATCGGATGTCGTTAAATTCTTTTAAGATAAAAATTTCATGTAGCTTTTTATCTCTACACGACAATACAATATTTGTTTAGCGAACATATTTGTAGGGCATTGATAAAATATCTCGACTATCCTTTGTTAAATAAAAGTGAAATCGTATGTCTGTGGTGATAGAAACATAAGTTGTTGTTTTTTACATTTGATATTTGATAGGTACATGAATACGTAGAGTCGATTCTTATGTATGGAGGTTATATTATTCAGTTTTAACATAATTTCAACAGTTCACTATTAACATTATTAAGTACCTAATTCTCTGACGTACTCCTCTTAGGTATCCAGAATAAGATGTATTTATATTGATTCTACTAAGAAATCACGTAAAAGAATCTATAATGGAAATTCTCAATCAAGCATATAAAATAATTTAGTGACGACGTTCAAGCAATTTATTGTAATCGGACCATAGCTTTATGACCATAGTGGCAAACTGCAACTCGGATAGTTGTGATTTCTAATAAGGTTTCGTCTGTTTCAAAACATCCAAGAAATTTTTCGCTCTATGTTGTAGAATATATAAATTAATCTAAAAGTCTCCTTTATAGGAATGTAAACTAAAAAAGTACAAACTACATGACTAACCTATAAAACTTTGTCTGCTTTTTGTACTTAAGTTGATTAAACATAACATAACATTTAAGAGTGTACCTATGTATGAAAGATTGTAATGAAAATACTAATATCAACTTTTTTATAATTTCAGCGGTGACTGGGCGCCAGAGATATTGCAGAACAAGACAGAATCCGCTCTGAATGTGACCCGCTCACATGTGTCCTCATACTTCCACTGGTTCCGGGAACAAGTGCACATCTACTCCAAGATACCCTGAAGAGTAACTCCTCCCCTTAGTGATAACTGTGCTAAACAGACAGAGGACTGAGTTACTGTGCTAGTTGTGTCCATTATCATCTCTTGTGCGACTGATTGATTAATACAAAATGTGTTCATTAACCAAGTTGTCTATTTACAACAAACATTCAATAATCATCTGTAACTATGGTCACAACTCAATTGTACTTAACAACTATTTAGGCCTAGTATAATGTCAATCGAGTGAACTTGATTTATTTGGTGAATTTTGTGTAATTTATTGTTATTTTTATAACAAAAATCATCAAATAGAGCATTGTACCATATCCTTCGTCTGCCTGTTACCCAAAGCAGACTGCGCAACATGAACACAGTCCTCTGCCTGAATGTATCCTTATCAAATCTGTTTTCTTTTATTATTTATGTTCCCTTTATGAAGAAAAAAAATTTAAATCGAGTACAATGCACACAGATGTGTGTCTGTAACAACAGACCTAACACAAACTATTTCTGGCGCACAATGACTGCTGAGAGGAGTCAATATTGTGGAAACAATTGTAAGTATATCTCACTTGGATGCAGGTAATCCAAGAACTGTAATAAATTACACCTCAACTCATTGTGTGCCAAAATATTTTGTTGACTTATTTATTTGTAATCATCAACATTATACACTCAATTGTTTTTAATTCAATGCAATAATTAGATCATATCATTGAAGAATATATTTTTACAAAATTAAATCCATGACAAGGTCTACAAAATTGCTAGTAGGTATTTATTTTAAATATTAAATTCTGTATTTGAATACATTCCTAATGCATTTAAATACCTAACAGACTGGTGTCATCTCGCGATTGTTCATTAGTTACCTCTAATTGTCATCCAAATAATTCATTGTTCATTTTATTGAATCTTTTAACAAATATTATGATATAATAGGGGAGTAAGCTTTTTGTAGTATATTTATTTTGTGTTGAGAGATCGTGTTAAAAGATATTTTAAATGAAATGATAGAGGAACGACTTTTAATTTGCGTTGTGTAGATTATTTGTAATTTGACCCCAGACATGCTTCATTTTACGGTACTTGGCGATGTATTGAAGCCACTTAAAATAATAATACTCATCAATGTTGCTTCAACATGAAGTTTTGACGATCTTTGCAGTAATTTGCACTTTGTAACATCCAAGGCAACTACATTATTTTCTTCAGTTCTATTTATTTTCTCGTAAACAAACTGAAGAGAATAATGCATGTTCTCACACTACCTAGTCGTTCCTCTGTCAGCGGTTTGAATGAATGAAATACATAATTTTAACATACAAACATCCAGCAGACATAACATTTCAATTTAGATATTTGTTCCTCTGAATAAGATGATAAATGTTGTGTTGTACGAAATAATTGTAAGAAATCACAATAAAATATTGTTAGTGATTTATCAAGAGTTTCATTTTATTACATTGAGTTTATAAAACTAGCAATTAGGTCAAGTCACATAGTTAAAGATGACGACTAAAATTTTTGTCTCTTAGCAATACGGCCAAAACCAATATCAGACATTTAACGCGTAGCGTTTGATCTGACCACAAAAACACCAGACAAAAAAAATGTCTCATAGCAATACGTCTGAAAGCCTCTTTTATTAGTAAATTTTGGTTATTTGATGCGAACAAAACAATTTTCAGACGGAAATGAACGCAATAAATATTGAGACCGTTATGAAAATGTTAATAAATTTTACCGATCCGTATCATGGCAATATGCCTGAAAATTGTTGGACATGATAAAATAAGTTGTCCACATTTGCAAAAAATGTATATCAGACAAAATACATAAGTGTAGCACCTTCTCTATCAGACAACTTTTCGATACTCAGATATTTTTGACACAGCAGAATTAATGACCTCCCACGCAGTTGCTACACTTTCGACCGTTACTACACACCTAGTCGGGTTCAGAATCATACAATCTAACGATTTTATAGGGTTTTTGCCGTATTGCTATGAGACATGGTTTTGGTCGTCATCTCTCGTAAGTACTAACACAAATTAAACAACAATATTCCTATTTTCATATTTTATTTACATAATATATTTGACTTATACTATTTATTGAAAAATAACTTGTTTGTATTGTCATAAATTGCCGCCGCTAATTCGTCTATGTTTTCTTTCCTAACCGCTGCCAAAATCTCCAAAACTTGTCTGAAAAGAATACAAATAAGTCAGTTTGCATTCCTATTCTTGATTTTAAGAAAATTCTTTAAAATGTTAGATGATCAAAATATATTTTTGATTTATTAGGACGTTGGACGAAAATCCAAGTGTTTACTTATTACAAAATAACAGCTAGAGAAACAGAATGCTGAAACTAAACATTACTTACATAATATTTACAGGTTCATTTCTCCCCTTCACCTGGTTGTTAGACCCGACAGTATACTTTTCTTTCTTCACCGTTGGAAACTTTGTCACTACATGGGTGTAACCAGGGTGCGTTGGTTTTACTTCACACCACGGACAGTCTGTTTCGATCATTAGCCGGTCTCTGGGTATTTTTGTCACAACTTCTAAGTTTTCCTGTGTTCTCAAGGAACTGCAAACAAATGAAAAAAAAATGACTTCACCTCATCTTAATATCAAGTGCATTCTGTTTCGTTTAACTTTTTTGCTAGTCTCGGAAGATTATAATTCACTTGTATTACAATTCAAATGAACCAGTAAATAATATGACATAACATAACATCACGCCTTTTATTCCCGAAAGGGTAGGCAGAGGTGCACATTATGCCACTGTACAATGTAACACCCACTTTTCACTATTTATGTTATGAGTCCCATGTAATAGGGGGTGAGCCTATTGCCATATACCGGGCACAATTCCAGACTCCGTGCTACTACTGAGATTTTTTTTAAAACCCAGTAATACTTTGCTTGCCCGGGAATCGAACCCGAGACCCCTTGCCCGGCAGTCGCACTTGCGACCACTAGGCCAACGAGGCAGTCAAGCAGAACAGAACCAGTAAATAATATGAATTTAGTAAATGAAATTTTCACTATGAAATGGAGAGAATGGAATGACATGGCGCCGATGCCAAGTAATTTGGGATAAGGTCAACAAGATCTACGATGAGAACTATCACTACAAATTCTGATCAACTAACCATCCATTAATACCTATATACATTCCCAAGTCTAGTATCTTCTGTAGAGCGTCCTCGCTACCGTCGAAAGAGTGTACAACTCCTCCTACAACAGAGTCGCGGTTCTTCGCAAGTATTGCCACCAAATCATCGGCGGCCGCGCGACAATGTAAAAAGAGAGGGAGACTGAACTCACGACTTAATTGCAACTGGTACTCGAAATATCTGAAAGAATTTAAGTATTGTATTACAAAGACATTTATAGTGATACTAGCTTCTGCTCTGCAGTACAAGTGGGTATTGCATTTTAATAAAAAATAATATTTAAAAATTTTGTTTACCCAGAAGATAAAGGTCATTGCAAACTATTGGTATGATTAACTTTTTTGTTTCACCAGTAATGAAACCTAATTTATATTTTATTAGATTAGACAATACAAGAAATCAATAGCAGAAAGTACCAAGTCTATCAACCATAACTGAACAAAGATCAATAAGTTTATTTCAGGTATCATTTTGTTAGGAGCCATCTATTTTATATTCTTGTACTATTTAAATGAAAATACATCATATGTGATATTTTCGAGTGTCCATTGATGAAATAGATGAAGCGGGTGGTAACTGTAGCAACAACCATTTTAAAAAAATATACCAAACACTCACTTGAGTTGTATATCTTTTTCACAGAAGTGTAGTCTCTCATAGTCCAGTCCACATTCACCGATGGCAACAACTTTGTCCTTATTGTCTTTTATTAAGGCTTTCAGACTATTCAAATATCCTTCAGCGTCCTGTAAGAAGTCATTACACCTGGTAGGATGACAGCCTACTGTTGCATACAACCTGGCTGAAAAGTGTTTCAAAACTTTCAACATATAGTATATTTTGCATACTTAAATTACACTTATTGTTATGCCATGGACGTCATCGGTGACCGACATTAATTTCTATTGGCAGTCAAAGCTTTAAAAGTTTTATACATAATTATGTAAATTATGTATCTTAAATTTAATTACATATGTACTGTAAAAATTATATAAAATTAGACTTTAATTTTATTTTATTGAATAGTTTGCAAACAAGCAGAGCAGATGGAATGTAACTCTGTTATCAGTTTGGATTAAAAGTTATTTAAGGCGGCGTTCAGTAATTTAACTTGAAAAGTAAGTAGACAACCATGGTTATTACTCATTTCTATGCAACCTTGGTTTCATTTCTTAATCTTATAATTGAGAGTTTGTTTGTTTGAATGCCCTAATCCCAGGACCTACTGGTCTGATTTGAAAATTCTTTGTATTGGGTAGTCCATTTATCGAGGAAGGCTATAGGCTATAAAACATCACTCTACGAACAATAGGAGCCGGGCAGGACGAGTGAGACCACGTAGAATTAGCTAGTAACTGATAAAGGTACATTACTTACAGTCGGACTGTGCCATTTCAATAGCCTTCTGACTGTCTGTCGTTGAGCCTCCTGTTATGATCATTTTATCCAGTCCCCCGTCCCAAGCCCGAGCTAAAACTGCGTTTAAGTCTGGCTCATGCTTTTTAGACCCATGGTACAAGCCCTGATACATTTCATCCGTCAGGTTCGCACCGATGTCTGAAATGTTTACAAAATATAGCTATGTAGCTAGTAATGCATGAGTAATGCAGGTTTTTGGAACGTATGTATTAAATTTACGGTAATTAAAAATTAATCCCATTAGTCCGTGATCGAGAAAAGTATGGAAGACTTACCTATATATTTTCTTAGCGTAGCCATTCTTTTCATTAAATATATGGTATGCAAACAGTATTATATGGTAGTTTTTATTTTTATACCTATAATTTAATTGCAAATTCTTAATTATTCCTCTTAAAAATGGAAATTTGTACCAGTCAACAGTAATAGTCGAAACACCTGTTTTTGACATATCGGCACTTCGGCAGCTGTGTCAACTATCAAAAGAAAATGTTTTTTAAGGTTAAATCACGTTCACGATCAAAATAATTCTCTATTTTTGGTTTGATAAATCTGTTTCAATCCAAATAACCGACTGACTTCAACTCAAGTTAATTGTGTAAATTATATATTTTCGAGAAAAATAATCTGTTATCAAAAAATTTATATCTTTTATCATTGTAATAAATCTAAATCAAACTTTGTAAACGTACGTCCACAAAATTCAAACAAAGAAAGAAGAGATTACATCAGGGTTGCCAGACATGCAACGTAAAAGTACGCTAATTTCCAACACCCTCGAATTGAAGGAGAAATATCTATCCAGTACCTTTGAGGTCTAGGATAAAACTGGGATTTAACATTGAATCTATTAAAGTAATTACATACATAATTGATAGTAAATATTACGTTCGAACAATTCAGAGGCCTTAGTACGAGTTTGTTTTAAGTTTAAAGTATTCGTTATAGTAATTTAAGGCCTCACTTATATCTACCGGTTGTAGGTAGGTACGTCATCAACGAGCGGACCCAAAGAGTATAATAAGTATAGAAGCAGACCTGAGGGCTTACGAGTACGAGTTAGTTTTACGTTAAAAGTAATCGAAACGAGAACGCGTTCAGCGTTTTGATTGGTTGGTTCATTGGCACCGGCTAATCACAGCGCCGAACGCTTACTCGTTTCGAATACTTTACTCGTACTAAGGCCTCTGAGCCGTGTCCAGAACTGAAGTCTATTTGAAATTGGAAATCTTTACACACAGCATAATCAAAAAAACATTTTTTTTATTTTAGACAAATGGGGTCCATATATTTACAGTTTATTATTATTAAATATATTTATCCTTTAATTTAAAAGATCGATAATTGGGTTTCGTTGTCAATCTTTTATTATGTTATTAATTTAGCCAATGTCAATTTAGGTAAAATATCATCACTTCTAACAAATAAAAAAGAAGAAAAACAACATTATTTTTACAATAGAAATGAAGCTAAATCGTAAAGCCTTTACCTATGCATTTCGCAAGGGTATGGTAGTCTTATTGTTGTTGGCAACACTCCAATCCAAATCAATCAATACAAAGTGAAGCCTCTCTGACTAGTATATAGTAATCTGTGGTGAAGCCATAAAACAGCCATACAAACAAAGCATTTACACAGCATTCGAGCCGTGTTCCGATTGCTCATTCGTTTTCGGTATTTATTGTATGTGAATAATTTATAATTTTTGTAAATAAAATTGTGAAATTATTGATAATGGCGTTCGCAAATTTTTCTAAGGCCGACGGTAACTGGCAGCCCCACTCACAACAACGGTATGTGAATTTGATTGTTTATTCACTTTTGTGTACACTAATACACTTGCAAATAATGCGATGTCTGCACTGCAAGCTTTGTTAGGTAGCATAAGGCTCTTTTTGTAAATTAAGATGAGCTATGTTAAGGACGTTTCTTCTTTTTGCGATTAAGCTAGATACCTATTACTTGCGAAAATGAAACCATCCTAACAGACATAAATGCAAGTTTTATAGAATAATACGTTTCATCTATTGTTTACAATCGGCACGTGGCTTTTAGTCTTTATATCATTAACAAGTTGAATAACTGCAAGCTAAGTTTGTTTGTAATATCTAATACAATATTTAAATAAAATCTACTGACCAAACATTATTTTATATACAAGCGGCCTATAGGATATACCTGGGCTTAGGGCCGTATTAGAGCTAAGGCAAACTAGGCAAGTGCCTATGGCGCGTGTTACAGGAGCGCCGTAAAGACGCGAGACGCACGTGCCCATAGTAGAAAGACTGCGACGCCAAAAAAATGAGGTGCTTGCCTAGGCCGCTTTCTAGGATTAATTTGCCTCTACTAGATACAATGTGATGTCATTTATTAACTCAGATTATAGTTTGTTGATTAAATATTCGTTAAAAGTAACTGGATGAGTTTGGAAGAAGTTGTATAGAAATAGCTGATGTTTGTATAGTCTGGAATAACATATCCTGGGAATGTGGGGGAAGCGGCTGGCAGGAACTAGTCAATTATAAATACTTCAGATGGTGCTCTAATAAAGGCTTTGCCTTAATACTAGTTTTGCCCTATCTATTCTGGTTCACTGAACTCTTCTGGAGTCTTTTTTATATGGTGGCAAAAAAGCACATGTTCCACTGGGTTGTAAGCAATTACCGCAGCCTATGTAGGCTTGTAACACTTGGGGCACTGCATGCGCCTTGCCAACACCTTTATTTTCTGGTGTACAAAACATGACAGCAAACAAAACAACTCTACTTATAGTCTGATTCCCCCAAGTCCTTTTTGTGATCAAACTATCAGATAAACGGTAAAACGCCACCGCTTCATGGTGGATATCTTATTCCCACCCACAAAACCAAGTTTCACCTCAAGATTTTTCCTTAGAACCAACTGAACTTAGAAAATCTTGTGTGGGTGTGTAGGAGTGGAATTCTTTAGAAAAGTTTGTTCCACAAAGTGTAGAAGCTCCATCATAGGTTGTATATTCAAGTTAATGACCAAATCCATAAATAATTATATCTCAAAAATATCTCTACTTTTTATATATTGTCACTCCTTTTTTAACCGCTTAAATGCTTGTTTATGAGACACAATAGAAAATACATTGTGTCTCATGTGGATCCACATTTAGACACACAATGGGTTAAGAACATAGAAAAAAAAACATTTATTTCTGCTCCAGCGGTAGCTCCTTCCTCGTCAACCTTGATGAAAGCTTCTTGGAATACCTTTATGAAGAACACTGATCTGCCTTGAATGACACCTAACGCAGGTTCTTCAAACGGTTTGGACCATTCAAGCTGTTAATAAAATTATGTGTCCTTTTAACCAGTGATTGCTAAATGCTATCTTATCTAAATAATACTTAGCTGCTTATATTTTATTATAATTACTAGCTTACCTCACCACTTCGTTTACGTTTTTCTAAAATAAAAGTAGCCTATGTTACTCCTTAGTACCTACATGCCAATAAAAGTCCCGTCAAATTCTGTCCCGCCATTTTATAGATTACCCAGTACAAACAGACAGACAAAAATATTGGTATATGTATCGTATATGCATGTGGTAAAGAGCGGTTATTTAAATATTAAAAACAGAGACTACAATTATAACTGTATAACTAGATAAATATGAAAACCATGATGTAGGTATGTAGTATATCGCTAGGGACATACTTGTATATTTTTCTTACACATTTGAAATTATATTTTACCGTAAGGTATGATTTATTACTTACTCACTGCTTTAAACTGTCAAACACCGCGAGGACACCGGTGACCGCAACCTATTGTTCTTTAATTGTGTCTATAATGACGGTACTCAACGAGTTAAACTCAAACTAAAAAGAATTTATTTCAATCAATCTAAAATTTGGTACTTTTGAAACGTCAACAAATTTAAAATAAATAATAGACTGTCAATCTGTCCGTCAGTGAAGCTAGGTGCTCGTTCCAAAATGTCGTTTATCTATCTTACTGCTATATACATTATGTTTATTACCACGGAATATAGAATACAATGGAAGTAGCTTGAAACAAAATTTATGCCAGAACCGGTGTCGCCAAACTAATACATTTATAATTTACTCATACTATAAATCGGAAGTAACGATTGGTTAGAAAAAAAATGGGCGTAAACGAAATGCAAAAAAAATATCATACGATATGCAACTTTAAAGTCAATGTACTATAAATTAAAATAAAAAAAGTATATTTTGGACTACCAAGTACCGCCATTCGTCGCTAGATGGCGTTCAACAATGCCATCTAGCGACGAAAAGTGGTACTTGGTTTGAACTTTAACGTCGTAAGAATAAAGGTGATATTTGAATGACTTATCACTGGCTCGAATGCGGGTCTCTACTCAGATAGTGATATAGCCTAATTCGATAAAAATAATATCGATAATATGAAAATGTGTTTTAAAAATAATGTGAAAAAAAAATATTGACTGCGATAGTGTGACAGTATTAAAATAATAAAATTAATATGTCGTTGATAACGTTTTAAACGTAACAAAAAAGGGTAAGTATTTATTTACATGTAAATCAAAAACCATTTTGTGCGTATTTTTTTTTTCAAAAAATCATTTTTTTTATTTCACATAGGCAATATAAGTAACAACTATTACATAAATTTTTACAAACTTTATATGGATAATGTGATAAATGAGAGGGATGGCGATAAGGATGACGGTGCTGATCTGCTCCGTGAAGTGAAGGTTGCTTCCAATCACGGCGGGGTCACCACTAAAATAATAATAAAAAAATAATCTAAATAAATGTTACATTACACTTGCATCGATATCAATCGATAAATTCAATATGTGATTTGACTACATCACTATTTGAGTAGCGTAGAACTGGCGAGAATGTTCTATTGAATGGAATAAATCCAAAATAAACGTTATCTTGAAGGCGTAAGGTTGATTTTGACAAAACAATATTATTTTAATAACCGTTTTTATAAATTGAAATAAAATAAGATTTCTACAAGATCACAATGAAAATTGTACTTACCGATGATACGAAACACCTCCATTTTTACGATTTTTCGGCTGCTATCATTTTTACACGACAAAACGGAACAAAACGGCATAGTTGAGGAAATATGTATTTGACACGAGACTAGCAACTCGACGCGATGTTCGAACGAGACTGAACTCAAATTTGCCTCGACTAAGCAGTGCGCGGCTTAGTTGTGGCACGAGTGCCACGCCTACTTGCTACTTCCATTGTATTCTATATTCCGTGTTTATTACTATATTACCCACTTCCACACGGTTTCACCTGCCCTGCTCGGCGTATCGATCATGGCGTGATGTTCTACAGCCTGTAATAGCCTTCCTCAATAAAATTGGGCTATCCAACACAAAATGAAATTTTCAAATAGGACCAGTAGTTCCTGCGATTACCGCGTTCAAACAAACAAACTCTTCAGCTTTGTATATAAGATTACGAAAAAACTACCAAAAGGGTACATAGATAGACTATTTAGCCTGGAATAATACATGGGAACGCGAATGAAGCTGCTGTGGTAGAAGCTAGTACATATTGATATAATGTTACATACCATAAAATAGGTTATTGTTATGAAATATTTAATCAGTTAAGTAATGTTGCAACATCATCATAACTTTATTGATACTAAGCGTACCTTTGGTAGGATATTGTTTAAGTCCAAATTGCTCCTAACTTCAAACTTGGCCAACTCCAATCTGACATTGTCTTTATTTATTTGTGTCAAGCCTTCATCGATGATTCCTTCTTCTGCGACTTTCTCGAGCACGGAAGGTAGACCGTCTAGTTCGTTCGGGAGTCCTATGACCATTTCGAAAGAAGTTTATTTGTATCTCAGCCCCACCAACTGCAAAACATAACGTAACGTTTGTAATGGTTTTTTTGTAGTTAATATATTAAAAAGTTTGTTTACTTAGCACCTAATTCAGGACTCTCACCATAATATAGAATTTTGTCTATGAATATGTTGGCTTTTGAACTACTTGGTCCTTGCTGATATGGAAATATTTGTTTTTTGTGTACTTGGGACCGAAGGGTATTTCACAATGCCCCTGAAATTTGGAAAATATAAGATGTTGTTTTTATAATTAATTATAATACATATATAATAATTAGCAGCCCGTCCCGGCTTCGCACGGGGTTATTTATTTTTGGAAATTTGGATTGTTGTAGTGACATAACTACAATAGTTGGACATATGCTACCGCGGAGTTTTTTGTAGACATTATGATGTTCTTCAATATTGATATACATTATTTTGTTCTATCGCTAATAGTTTCGGCAGCGCATTCGACGAAAGACATTTTAAGACTTATTTTTCTACACCTTCGGTTACATTGTTCAAATTTTACCAAGGATCCCTAATTTTTTTCAAAATGAAATGTAGCCTATGTCAAATTGGAAGAATGTAGCATTCTATTTGTGAAAGATTTTTTTAAATCAGCCCAGTACTTTTTGAGCCTATTCATTACAAACATACAAAAATAGATACAAATCTTTCCTCTTTATAATATTAGTATAGATAACTATCGTGAGACATACAAAATTAACTAAAAATCGCAGGCATCGCATACTCACGTGAAAATACTGAGAACGCACCACCTAAGAATTGAGTAATTTCATTCTGATGTGCACCAAAATTAAACAAGACCAACACGATCATAAGACTGAGGCACCCCTCAGTTGGCAACACGTTGTCGCATGGTGATGCGACAACGTTTTGTCACCTGCCAAATTGTAAGCTTCCTGCAAACGTATTCAAAGTTATAATATTAAACGGTTTTATTTCACTTGCCCTGTTTGTTTGGGTCTAAAGTGATTGGAATTTTACCCCTTTCCTGACGATAGATCTATTTGGTTCACACTTTTTGATCTTGATGACCATAAAATCTAATTTCTTCCACATGCGCCAAGCCCAGGCTTGAAAAAGACCCAGGTCTTTTTTCAAACTCAGTGAGCATTTTCCTTTAAAGCACTGAATTCACCAATATATCTTAAATTGTTGGCAAGTTTATATAGCTGGTTGCCATCCGTAAAGAAAGTAGTTTGCATCTCTTTCTTCGTTGTCTAAATTATTATTGCTTGACTTTTTTTTTCAATTTTGAAGAATGGCGTTGCCTAGCATCGCGGCATTAGTAATTTGCCGTTGCACGTAAAATATTTCCATGAAATCACGTTGTGTTTCGTCATTTCACTAGATATTTTTAGTAAGAAGACGTAAGGAATGAGAATATTCAATATCCCTGGGAATTTTGTGAAATCCCGAATTTCTCGCAGGGGGTAATTATCGTAAATAAAAGCAGAAACGACAGACGAACTGTCTTTTGGCTTGGATTTTTTCTTACGTTCTAACTCTTTTATAGCAACAAAACTAACAAAGACAGAATTAAATCGATTTAGATGTTATCGAGTCTTGAGATTTGCGCTTAGCTTTATGGGATAGACCAGAAAACGAGCAGACGAATCACCGAATGGTAAGCAATCGGCGCCGCCCATGGACAAGTTTATTGTTTTTCAACAAATGTGTTACGTGTTACGTTAAATAGAAAATCAAATTATGGACCCTGTTGGGCACAGCACTTTATTATATGAAACAGGATTTAGGACGCTCGTATTCCCATGGGTTCAACCTGTGTTATTCCAAGCCAGACCATAATCTACCTGTTCTGAATTTCATCCCGAGCCCTTCAGCCCTTTTGACGTCATTGAGTAACATATATACGGAACTTTTTAGGTCTTGCATATTTACGTTGCACTTACACGTCTTGCATCTTTGCTCGGCACGGTGTGTTTTTTTTACACACGTTATATATTATTTATGAGAGGTGATATATTTATACAGGTATAGTATTTATGAGAGATGGCAGATAGACATTTTAACAATTGCACTCTGATAAACGTTACTTATAAATAAAAGTAGATACAGCCAACTGCCACTAAACAAATTAAGATTTGTCGACAGTCTTCATTAATTTTCTAATTGAACAATATTTGCTCCCCCGATTACTACTACTACTACTACTACTACTGGAAAGAAAACTTAACTGGCTGGGTGTGGTAACATCTCCTTTTTTTCTTTATTAAGGCACAACTTGGAAGCGGGCGCCGTGCGGTGGCTGTACACGATGGCGTATAATCGCATCATGTCGCCACAACATGTAGTTACGTCATGTCCCTGCGGTCGTGATTTAAAACAAATAAGGTACAAGTTGGAAGCAGGCGACGTGAGGTGGCAGCGGACGACGTGTTGTCGCTTCATGTCGCCACGATATACTCGTTACGACCTTTCACTGCAGTTATGGTTACGAACTATAAAAGGTACAAGTTGGAAGTGAGGGAGGTGATGTGGCGGCGGACGACGTGTTGTCGCCATCGCTACAACACGTCGCGTTGTTACGGCCTGTCACTGCAGCCATGATTACAAACTATAACAGTGGCACTACTGATGCGCGATCGGGCGATATTGTCGTTTGCCGCTCGACGATGCGTCGCTAACTACGGAGTGAATTTCATAGAAATACATTGAAACCAGTAGGGTCGCTCGCGACACGTCGTCCGCTGCTGCCTCATGTCGTCCGCTTCCAACTTTTACGTTAACAGCTGCACTACTAATCCACGGTTGGGCCGTGGGTGACACTGTTGTCTGCCGCTTGTCGACGCGTCGTTAGCTTCGTGTCGCTAACTACGTAGTTAATTAATTTCATAAGAATACATAGAAACCAGTAGTATCGGTGCGACACGTGGCCACTGCCTCGTGGCTCGCGTCTAACTTGTACCTTAAAGGTACGTACTACACTTGTACGTAGCCGTACAAGTGTGCCGACTGCGGATCAGTAGCGTCGCTGTTATAGTTCGAAATCCTGCAGTGATAGGTCGTAACGACGTGTCGTGGTCGACGATTTGAAGCGAAAACACGCCGTCCTCTGCCACCTTACGACACCTGCTTCCAACTTGTACCTTTAGATGCTAGTGTCACAGGTTTCCTGTTATTTGTGAAGAGAAATCTATACGATAATTTTACAGTTCAATGATCATTCACTATTTGTTCATTATACGGAAATACCCTAATAAAAGATACTCACTTATATAACCAATATTCTTTTCTTTTCAGGATAGAAACTACTGAAGTCGTTCAAAAAAATAACTCGTTGACAGCAAAGGTCTCTGTCACAAACTACAATATACCGTTTGCTACCAAAACAAGCCGCGAATACGTGATCGGCGGCGTAGTGAGCTTTCAGATAAAGGTCGTGACAGCCATGGTCAGCAACGGACACACGATGGTTTACAATAACTTGATATTTGTACAGTTCCTCAAACGGCGACAGAACGATGAACTCACCTATTCGATCAAGTTTGCAGCCCCAGAACTACACATGCGGGACAAGCAATTCACCAGTGACGACGGCATGTGGCACTTGGTTCACGAGAACAAGCGCCAGCAGTATACATTCGAAGTAAGCGTACTGTTGGAGGTGATGCCGCGCGTTAACTCGTTTGCGATCTTGTATGACGACGAGGAGTTGACAGATTTTGAGCTGCGCGGGGTGGACGGGTCAGTACGCATGCATCGCGCCGTGATGGCGGCTTCCAGCCCCGTGCTGAGACGTATGCTTGGTGGCATGTGGCGTGAAGCCACTGAGGGCTGCGTCGATATGCCCGGCACCACGCGCGCTACACTGCAGGACCTCAAGAACTACGTGTATATGCGCACACTGCCCGACTCAGGGCTGGAGGAGCTGTTGCTGCTCTCGTCTTACTACATGATGCCAGAGCTGGAGAAGCGGTGCGTAGACAAGATCGTGCAAAACATAACCGCGGGGAGCGCCTTCGAAGTGATCGAATTCGCGGCCAAGAATAAGATGACGCAGCTAATGCTGGCGGTGCTGGACTGCGTACAGTCCGGCTCCATCTGCGTCACCGAGATGCGGGATCACCTCCAGCAGCCTGAATGAGCCCACGCTACTGCCAAGCTATGGTTTACGCTTGGACAAAAACTACAAACACTACTCTTAACTCTTTCACTGTACCTACGTGGACGTACAGTGAAATATTAAAAATTAAAATAAGTTGATTTAAAAAAAACATGTATCGTATTACCCCAGATTGTACAAATGTGAAATTTTGCTATCAAAAACTAAGGATAGCTAATGAAAGTGAATATTTTTTAATATTGAAGAGTTGAAATAATTTAGTTTTGACTTAGAAAATAATTCAGTTTACAATGAGGGGCACGCATGTGAAGCTCCATCATGACCAAATGAAACTTAATAATGATAATTAAACAAAATTGATTACAATTTAAAATTAGGATAATGGCAGCTATAACGACGATTATCGTAGCGGAAAGTTTTATAGCCTATAGCCCTTTCCGATATATGGACTATGGACTATTCAACAGCTTTAGTGTAGTTTATCATGTATCATTGTGTCTGTGTGTATTGGTATTGAGCTGAGGAATACTGTTCTGTGAGTGTCTTTTCACATGGTGCCAACGCACTATGTACAAATGTGTCAAATAAATGTATGTGTATGTACAAAAAAATCCAAAGAGGTTCTGTCGTAACATTATCGATTAAATTCATCTTTTTAATAACAATAAATAGCATCTAGATCAGTTCTAAAGCAACCTACTTATATTGCTACTTCCTATTCGATGTATGAATAGTTCTTCAGTTTTAGCTCCATGTACTGACCTAGTACGTAGGTATATCAGGGTGTATAAGTGTTTGTACAAAATGGCTACCATGTCGATCGTCTCCTTTACAGACGAAATGTAGTATCAGTAGGGTTTATTTTGTATTTTTATTACCTTAGGGTTATTATCGTACTATTTTTGTACTGTTTTAACTGACTGCAGGTATTTCCAGTCAGTTAACGATTAAAAAAGAATTGTGTGTGTGTGTGTGTGTGTTTATTATGATGTAATGCTCATTCTTTGTAGTTTTTAAGTTCAGTAAGTATAATAAAATATACGTTGAGAAGTCGAAACTCGTAAACGCGACGTTTGTTGAGAATGACGAATTTGGAACGGGATCTCTACAAATACGTAATTTCATTTTTGTTAATCTATTTCGACCGAATCAAAGTTAGGAGTTCCGAGCTAGCTACGTCATTTGGAAGTATAACACGTATCTATCTAGAAGTGAAGTTGACGGGGGGAAACCTTCCAAAGGCGCCTAGCTTTTTGGGAAAAAAGACTAGGGAGTGTGAGATTTTTACCTCACTGAAACCACCCCGGTGGCCACCTATCGGCACGAAAACGAGGATAGGTACTATCCTCGTTTTTATCTGTTATTGTATCTGTATTCACCTTTCTCAACAAACGCCGCTTACCTACTTGTCTTCTCAATCGTTGGTATATTTTATTATAATAAGTATAATTATGACTGAACCCCAAATATTACATAATTATGTAATCTTACTGTGGAATTAAGACTGGTTTTATAAATTGACTGACATTATTTTTGATTGTGATAATTATTGTCTTTTGTATTTTTGTAATATTAAAGTAAGCCAACCTGAATATGTAGTTTTATTGCAAACTATCCTGACTCTTTCAATCACACAAGTGCTGTGCTATGATTTTACTTGTGCAGCTATAGGTAGGTACGTCGAAGGGAAAGAAGTTATTTGATTGGTTGACGTTTGTGAGCTGAATCAAAAGATTCCGTGCTGGTAGCAAGCAAGCCGTTGACCGTTCCCAGAATTTTAGCAATAGTAGGTACCTACCTGAAATATGAATTTGATATAGGTAAAAAATTTTTTCAGTCCTTGTTTTGCCTACCTACCATATTACAAATTTCAATGTATCTTATCCAATCATTGTATCCAATCCATAAATCTAGGTACCGCAAAACGGGGTAAATAGATACAGGAATGGGGTGAATAAATATTAGAATATTTTCCCAACATTTATTCACCCCTCTTCTGTATCTATTCACCCCTCGAATTCTATTCGCCCCGTTTTACCGCACCTACTTATTTCCCGCCCTTTTCCGACCGAAACACCGAACGTCATTCAAATTCAAACGTGTTTTCTAAAGGCTGAATTTACTACCTGCCAGTCTTAAAGGAACCTATTACCTTCTCGATAGAATACTAAATGAAATATTTTTTATACTAAAATATATATTTAGGTATACTAAAATATAAACTTTATAATTATACTTTTTTTATAATTATACTTTTATTAAATTTATACTAAAATACTTTTTTATACTAAAATAAGACCCAGAAAATTTAAAATTTATAGGTAGGTACCTATATTATCATTATTTTATACCTAATTATTATCAATTTAATATTGTGCAGTAATTTTAATATAGTTCACTATAACGGAGGCTGACTGTCAGCAAAGGTATGTTTGAATGAGGTAATTATAGAAATTAATGGGGTAGACGACTAATTTTTATTTTAATATCCGTCTGGTAGATTATTTAAAAACATTAGACACGTATTTTTTATTTTCTTACGGAAACGAATAGTTTCGAAGATATATTGATTTGAAATGTCGCGTGACGTCACTTCTCAGTACATTTTATACTAAGAAATGACGTTTTAGCCCCCACTCCTAAACTTTGATTCGTTTTATCTAAGTATTGTTTTATTATACAACAAAATAAAAAAATACGTGTCTAATATTTTTTTATTACCTAAGTTACGGACTAATTATATTTTTAATTTTCATACCCTGTCATCATCCCCATTATTTCGGTGCAAACTGTGTAGGTAGTTTTGTATTAAATATAATATGCGTTACACACGCTCTCCTAATAAATAAAAAGAGTTGTGCCAAGACTATCTGTGTTCTACGATTATTTCCTGGGTATTAGCGGTGTTTCCTAAAATAAATACTGGCTGACAATAGGTACAGTCTGCCTCGTTGGCTGAGCGGTCGCTAGTGCGACTGCCGGGCAAGTGCTGGCCGGCAGTCTGGTTCGATTCCCGGGTCGGGCAAAGTATTACTGGGTTTTTGAAACATTTCCCAGTAGTAGCATGGAGTCTAGAATTGTGCCTGGTATATGGCAATAGACTCACCCCCTATTACATGGGACTATAATATAAATAGTGAAAAGTGGGTGTTACATTGTTCGTTAAATAAATATTACCTTAACTAAGTACACTTACGTACTTACATACGTATCTTGCAAGTCTACATTATTACTTACCTCTGGTCTTGGCTTAGATTCTAGATCTGGCAAAATACCTATATTATTTCAGCTTTTTGTGAGTCTTATTTGCACCTGGTATATGACAAAGGACTCTTATACCCTGTCAGTAAGAGTCTGACACTCTCTCCCGCTTCACCCAGGCGGGAGCAGTCATTCGATTTTTCCCCCTTAAAACATAACTGGTTCTAAGTAAAAAAACGAGGCACAATGTTAGTAGGTATGTAGTTTAGAATTTTCATATAAATAACATAGGACTTGTAATTTCTTGCTAGCTAACCCATTGCCCCAGTGCTCCTCTAGACTGTAGTTATTATTTATTTTTTTAAGAATAAAAAATACACGCATCAACAGGTCCTTAACCCATTCGCTGCGGCAGATGTCGTGTCGTTTTCTAAGGACTTGTCTATATTTTTATAATAACTATCGTGAGACATACCTACTAAGTTAATTAACTAAAAATCGCGATCGTATACATCGCGATGTCGCGCAGCCTACGTAGCGTAGCGTAGCGCCGCGACCGCGCACGCTGCTCATGAGACAGAACCTCTCTGTGGTTAGAATCTAGTAGAGCTTTTCTCAGTATATTCACGTGAGTAACCTGCGATTTTTAGTTGACTTGTTTACCTATATGTCACCTGTACTGTAATTATGGTCCTCTGCATCAGCAGGTCTTGAAGAGAGAAAGAGACACTGATCTGAAGTAATATTTTCAAAATGATCTTGAATCTTGATACCCAATGAAAAATTTTACTGTTTCTTAGGAACAATTCAAGTTTTAGACCATATCACCATCACACATCATCCCTAAGACCTGCAGAATTTAGTAGGCTTCCCCCAATGATTTCCAGGTTGCTGTAATTATGTATTGGTTATAGCTTATTTTACTGCCTCGTTGGTCGAGTGTTCGCAAGTGCGAGTGCCGGTCAAGGGGTCTCGGGTTAGATTTCCGGGTCGGACAAAGAATTACTGGTTTTATTTAAATTCTCAATAGTAGCACGGAGCCTGGAATTGTGCCTGATATATGGCAATAGGGTCCTATAACATACTTAAAACATAAATTGTGAAAAGTGTGTTACATTGTACAGTGATATTAAGTGCCGTAATGTGCGCCTCTGCCTAGCCCTTCGCGCATAAAAGGCGTGATGTTATGTAATCGAAATGAAACCGCGTTCGGCGCTCTAATTGGTTGGACCTAAGGAGCCGGCCAATGAGAGCGCCGAACGCGGTCTCGTTTTGATTACTTTAGGTAAGCTTAAAACAATATCATACTAAGGCTTCAGACCACTGTTTTACTGTCATTACCAATGGAAACATTAAAAAGCAATTTTATATAAAAATTGAAATAAAACACAAACATTTTATTGATTATTTTAATTATTTTCTTCAGCAATTTGTCAGAAAAATAAAAGTTTTAATTAAATACATAGTTTGATCAGTATGATGGCACAAATAGCAAGATTTATAAAACAATTCACTTTTATTTAATTCAATTTACTGGACATATGTGCCTGCAAAGAGTATTTTATCCTCCAACAGAATTACAAAGAGGAATGGATGGTCTACTTTAAATTCTTTAGGGCGTGGTCTCATTGCGGCTGATGACAAAGGTACTAGAGTGACACCTGAAAAGTTAAAAATAATATTAATCAACTGTTCTTATCGTTATACAAGAATATTATGTTATTTGTCCGCAAAGCCATGACCCAAACAAGAAATGAAAAAGTAATGTTGATGAAACCTTATAAAATATTTAAATAATAATTAGCACCCTTATCCATACTCATTACTCATGCAGAAGTACCTATTTGATACAAAGATAAATAATTTGGGAAAACATATAATAACTGAAAAAACAAAACTGATAAGTGATAATCGAATATGTAGTTATATTATTCATGTTCTTTAAAAATACTTTGTATCAGTAGTCAGGTCGATAGATAGGGAAATATGTTCTGCGATGGTTTTCGCTTTTGGAGGCTCTGGTGAAGTTTATAGACCGTGGAGTTGCCTACAGTCATTAGTTACGTTTGTAATAATAGTAGGATTATACACCCCACCAGCGCCATCTACTCAGTGCAAAAACGAGAACCTTCACTAGATAAAAGAAAATAATATTGCAGCAAAGCGTTTATAAAATCATGCGAGCATTCACAATAAGTAAAGCATTTTCATTCCGCAAAAGTGTTTCAAAGAGCAAAGCTTTAACCCAGACCCCGTATAAATAGACTATTTCTAAAATCGTCCTACTGCATATTTTATTTTCTCATCTAGTTTCAGTCATTATTGCAAAAGTTATACGGTTATAGTTTGTTCATCAGGAGGTATGTACTAAACCAGGACCAGTATTAGTATTATTGCGCACAAGACTCGCATCTCGAACAAGACATCGAAAGAAAAATGGTTTCGAGATAGAGAAATGAGAACGATGAACGATAAGAAAAGAAAGGAACAGTAGTAATAACTACGAAGAAACAGTTCAGATGGAAGCTAAAAGTGCATAAAATACAGTGGAACGTGCATAACATTAGATTAAATTGAAACAGGTAAAGACGATATTTTGTTCCGTTAAATAACAAACATGCATAGATTCTGAAAATAATTATAAAGCTGTATTAAAAGCACTATCACCTTAAAGAACAGGGCCCAGTCCCAGCAAAAAAATATTATCCCCGAAAAGTGTAAGAAACGAACCGAAAGGGGTAGATAATCCATCGTACCTACTTCTCTCTCTAACTTCTTAACAAATTGCGGTTTATTTATAAAAGAAAGGGCTTCGAAAATAAATTCTGCGGGTTAAATTGCATGTCCTACTATGAAATATTTACTCTTCTTACATAGTCTCAACAATTTCCCTATGCATATATTTCTGACTTTCATAGACAGCTATTACAGGTACCTACTTACAAAAGAAGCGATATAAAACCATGGCGCATGCATCGAGTGTCTCTGATTCCATAAAAGCACATTAAAATTGCTCCAAAAACTAGCAGAAAGAAAAACCGCGAAGAAGATAACTACGTAAAAAAAATACGTATCTAAAAAAATTCTGTATCGTGGATTTTTTACTGTCGTTGTCAAAAATATCCTAGGATAGATAGTAAGATTATATCTTTCAAACACATACCCATGACGAACTAATACCTTCTGGAGACAAATTACCAGCAAATTGTGTCCAAGCTTGCTTTCTAGCTGGCCGTTACTTATCTGGACCCACTTTAAAGCTTATGATAACCAAGGTTAAATGGCTACTAGTGAAATTAGCCCAATACATTATTTAACAAGACTGTGGCTGCAAGCTCATAAATAAAATTTATTCCACATTCAGAGCATGAAGCACAGAGTAATAAACTGAATCACCTCAGTGTGTGTAAGTTCCGGCAAAAATTACTTTATCTTCATAAAGAATGTAATATAAGAATGGACGATCTACTTTAAACTGTACCAGTCGTGGTTTTGAATTTAACGACAATGCGTGCAGGACAAATCCTGTAATTGAAAGTGATGGTATAACTAAAAGGTTATACTTTTTACCGATTTAATTTTAATGATCAAATCGGAAGATTATAGATCACTGTGGCACTCGATGCTGTATTGTTTTAATTAAAGTAGGTCGCTAATCTCCAAGTTTAGAATACAGTTCATTTGATAATTCTGAAAACAATTCCACATTTTTTTGCCATTCCGTTAAAGCTTATACTAACCTACCTCACGCAAGGGAACTTTAAAAAAATCTTAATCATGAAAATAGTGAAAGTGCTAGTTGACTTGAAGTCTGAACTACGTAGGTGTTCTAATGGAATGGGGTCCCAATCCCGATCGATGTATGAGAAATGGAATGGCTAATATATTCTACTGCCTATAAATCACCTTATTTTGCGAAAGTTCCCGCAAAAAGTATTTTGTCCTTATATATGATCAAATATAAAAATGGATGGTCTACTGTAAACTTCAGTAACACTGGTGGCTGAAAGTCCAAAGATGGAGGCACGGCAAAAAATCCTGTGAATTACAATTGTTTTAATGCAGGATTTAAAGTAAATCAAGTGTTTGTGATTCGTTGTCGTTAGGACAAAATATGAATGCTTCTATTGAGAAAAGTTTTGATGGTGTTCAATTACCTACATTAGATTTATCTACGTTAATGTATATCTACTGTATCACAATCTATCAAAGATACCAATTGATTGATAAATATATAGATAATAGAAAATAATACAGAAAAAAGAGAGAAATTAGCAGGAAACAATTTAAATTATGTTGTTATTTACACCGACCACATAGACATAAATAAACTATGTGCCTGAGGGTTCCGGCTACACGGTCGCTATAACGTAGACCTTCGCGCTGTCGGGACACATATGGCCACAAGATTCCTCCTAGCCCGAATTGTAGTCTTGTTGCGAAGAAGTTCGTGCGGTTGGCTACACTTCGCGCACTCACTCAGTTGACTGCGCGACGCCGAACGGTTTGGACGTGTTTGATTGTTATCATACATTGGCGTAATGGGATAATCTTAGAGTTCATACAAAATTTGTGAATAAATAAAATTATGGATCTGAATATATGATAAAAAATGAAATCCTTAGTGGCTTATTACAGAACACATTTAAATAAAATACATATTTTTATTACCATTATATATACCTATGCAATTTATCATCATTTTTATAAGTGTTCTACTAAAATTTATTTACGTCTAGTCGTATATATATTTGTATATATATGCTCTTAATAATTTCCCCACGCTTATATTCCTGACTTTCATAGACGGGTATCTAATTACTAACAAAGGAAGCGATATAAAACCATGGCGCATGCATCGAGTGACTTCGATTCCATAGAAGCAAATTAAAACTGCATCAAAATCAAATCGCCAAGAAGATAACATCCGGGAATGAAAACTGCTATCCAAAAGAAATTTTTGCAACGTGTTTTTTATGTTGCCGTTGTCATAAATATTCTAGGATAGATAGTAAGACTATATCTTTCAAACTAGTGACACAAACTAATACTGGGTAATCTTCTGGAGACCAAGAAGTAGCGAATTGTGTCCAAGCTGAATAAATATGGCTCTCTGGATAAGCTGCTGATGACCACGGTAAAAATGGCTACTGGTGAAATCAGCCCAATAAATTATTTGATAAGGCGGTAAGCTCATATTTCATACTCAGAACATGTAAAACAAGGAGTATTCAATTGAATCACCTCAGTGTGTGTAAGTTCCGGCAAAAATTACTTTATCTTCATAAAGAATGGAATATAAGAATGGACGATCTACTTTAAATTGCATTACTGGGTCTGGATCTAACGACATTGCGTGCAGAACAAGTCCTGTAATTGAAAGTGGATATTACTAAATGGTTTTATATTTTTATAGTACACTGTGGCACTCGATGCTTTATTGTTTTAAATAAAGTAGGTCGCTAAAATCTCTGAGTTTATAACACAGTTAATTTGATAATAGGGTAGACGACTAATTTTTATTTTAATGTCCGTCTGGTAGATTATTTAAAAACATTAGACGAAGATATATTGATTTGAAATGTCGCGTGACGTCACTTCTCAGTACATTTTATACTAAGAAATGACGTTTTAGCCCCCACTCCTAAACTTTGATTCGTTTTATCTAAGTATTGTTTTATTATATAACAAAATAAAAAAATACGTGTCTAATATTTTTTTATTACCTAAGTTACGGACTAATTATATTTTTAATTTTCATACCCTGTCATCATCCCCATTCTACAAATTATCTCACATATTTACCACTCCAACAAGCTTATACTAATATAATTCACGCAAGTGCATTTGGATTATGTAATAACAATTGAAAAATAAATCTTATCTTATACTATTATATAAAGCGGAAGAGTTTGTTTTTTTGTTTGAACGCGCTAATCTCCGCAACTACAAGTCTGATTTGAATAATTATTTTTGTGTTGGATAGCACATTTATCGAGGATGGCTATAGGCTATAAAACATTACGCCACGACCAATAGGAGCTGAGCAGAGTGAGTGAAACCGCGCGAAAGTAGCTAGTAGATAATGAAAAGAAACAGAGAAGAAAGATAATTATTATAAGAAGAATTAGCAGAAAATAAACACCTTATCAGAGTGATTAAAAACCCACACCTCATTGTTTGAAGTGCGCTTTAAATTTCAGAATTTCAGTATCTACCTCAATGCGTATAAGTGCCAGCAAAAATAATTTTGTCTTCGTAAAGAATCAGGTATAAAAATGGATGGTCTACTATGAACTGCGGCGGTGGAGGTGGTTTGTAATTTAGAGATGCTCCCAATCCAACTAGTCCTGTTAGGGGCAATAAATATAATAAGAATTAAATCTATATATATATATATATCTATATATAAAAATGAAACCCGTTTCCCGTTGTGACGCCATAACTTGAGAACGGCTAGACCTGTTTGGCTTATATTTTTTTTGTTGTGTTTGTTATTGTCAGAAGAAAGTTCTTATGACAGAAAAAAATCCTGAAAATCCTACGGGAACGGGAGAAAACGTGATTGCGCGTACGAAGTCGCGGGCAGAAGCTAGTTATATATAAAGAATTAAAACCAGTCTTTTTTTCGTGACATATGCATGCCACGCTTATGGAAAGT